TTTTACCTTTAATTTAGCTTTAGAGAAAATTTTAGATTTAATTATCAAGGGAATTAGTCAATATTTTCGAAAGCAATTTGATATAAAGTCTTCGGAAATCACTGAGGATGAAAAGAACAATGGTATCGACATTGAAAAAATTGAATACTTATTATCGACGGAATTCATAGGCCCAGTTTGTCAAAAAATTCCTTTTTATTTATTTCATTTAAGCATTGATGCCTTTGACATTACAACATTATTAAGTTCTTATTTAATAATGTGCAGCTATTGGGTTCATTTTTTAAATGTCCGATGTAAATATAAAAATAAGGAAAAAAAGGTGTTGTATAATTTTCAATGCGTACAACAGTCGGTAAAAGATAAACTACTTTTAAACAACTTTATGATAAAGGGGAATATGAATTTTGAAGAAGCAAAATTTTCTGATCAAAATCACTTGCAAAGTATGTTAAATAAAATCCATGATGAATTGTTAAATTATTACAAATTTAATGACTGTCTGATTTGGACATCAATTGATTGGTTAATTGAAGTACACATTTTTTCTAACCGTGTAAATTCCGATTTCTTAAACGAAATAAAATACTATGGATTAAAAAATAATCTTTATAATGAAGAATTTCCATTTATTAATGTGTACAACCATATAATACCATGGAATTTAAACGCGGAAACACTTAAGGTTTTTAAACAATTTACTTGCGATTCATTCATTAATAATTTTATCAGATTCATTAAGCAAAAAGTAAGTATAATTAATTTTTACTATAAACTTAATATTAATGTTGAAGATAATACCAAACAAATAATGTACGAACGCTTGAATAAATCTGTTGACATTTATAAAGAAAAATTAATCTATTTACATAGTATCTGGAAAAATACCAATATGGATACTAGGAAGATAAAAGAATTGTGGACACTTATCAATATCATTAAAAATATTGAAAATATTGATATGACTACTAATAAGGATAAGAAGAATAATGAAATTATTGATAATACTACTAAGAGTGATAAGGATAAAGATAATAATATTCTTAAAGAATTAGAAAACATTTCTAATCAGGACCATAAATTTAGTACTGATCTGGAAAATTTGTACACATTTTTATATGATCCTAAAACAGATTTTACATTTTTTTTGAATATAATCTATGTAAACAACTGTCAAAATTCTATAAATTATTTAAACACGTATTTTTCGATCCTAAAGAATTCAAAACTTAAACCACAACAAACAGAAGGTCCTTCTGATGATTTTCTAATTGATATCTGTACTAAAAATGATTTGGATAATATTTTTATGGCAAATAAATCCACTGATACAGTTTCCGGTATTTCTGGCCAGAATCCTGAAGGAAGTGAAACCTGAAAGATCACAACTTATCAAAAACTGAAAATAAAGAATAACAATTTATGTATTTATTTATACATAGGTATTTATTTCAAATGTTTTCTAGAAAAACGATGTTTAAAAAAATATTGTTAATTTCAGTAAAGCTATGTATAAACATAACATTTATGATTTTATGTAAGGAAAGTTTATTATATTATATTCATATTACCTACATGTTATATTTATTTTCAATTTATCAAGTATTGGATTTCATTTATTTATTAAACTTTTAAATTATTGATGATATTTTCCGTTTCCATTTATTTTATCTGTTTTATTCTTAGTAAAATAAATATATTTAAATACTGTACACAGGGATATATTTTGATTATTGTTTAGTTAAGTTTCTTTGGAAGAGTTGTATATCAACTAAGCAACTTTAACAGATAGGAAACCTACGACATACCGCTTTAACATTATATAATTGAGTGATTATATTTCACTATATATTGATATATTTTAAAATATGCCTTATTCTTGGATTTAATCAATTCTCTCATATATATGAATATCTGAAAGTGCAGTTTATTAAACATATTTTGAATGCCATACAACATTTTAAATACCTAAATTTGTGTATAAAATAATCGGTTTATTGTTGTTGTTGTATTTATTGTTGTACTTATTACATTATTTTATTTGTTGTAATTATTTATTGTTTTTGTTCAACAAAAGTTGTATGATAAATTCAAATTGCTTATTTCCATGGGCCTACATATAATCGGGTAAGAATGGAATGTTTAGAACTACATCCAATTTATTTCCTATTGATCGGAATTCTATAAAACTACGATAAAGCATATTATATATTCGTTAACGATATGTCAAATAGTAAGTTATATTTATGAGTTAATTGATTGATATTTCATTTTGCATAATTTGAAAAATGATGTATGTTTGCTTTACACGCATTTTTTAAATAATTATAGTAAATGGTAAATTAGTGGATTTGCTTTTAGATATATGCTTTATCAAGAATATTAAATGTACACGTTTTGAATTTTACCTTTTGAAAATTGTTCAATATTGATTCAAGGTTAATCTTTCAGAGTAAGTTTACAAAAAGTTTGTAAAAATACAATTTACAAGAATACAGTTTGTGCATTTAACATTCAATTCATGAGTCCAGATAACGTTAACGAATGAAGCGGGTTAATGAATAACTTTACATATTTAGATACCTAATGGTAGATACGAGTTTTTATTTATATATATATACAGTGATTTTTTTTTTTCGTGAACCAGTTAATATCTCGGGAAGTATTAGGAATTTTAAAATAATTTTTTTTTTAACTTTCTAGGTTTTATTATTTTTCACTGTGTTACAATTTTGATAATTTTAACTCCCTTATTTGATAAAACACGATCAACTTTCGATTTTAAATTTAGCCCTAAAAATATGTTGTACCTTAGAGTAGACAATGTAAAGTATACTCAATGTTCATTTAATTTTTATTAATTTATCTAGAGTAGTGGAAATGTTAAGTATTAACATTTTTTTATTTGGTATGGCCTTACCCAATTCCTGCAAAAATTTGCACTACGGAAATTTGTTCATGTTCTTGTAAAATTATTGATAACTAATATGTTTATTGCCTTTGATAATTTAGTATTGAATTATTGTCCATTATTTGGTCTATTCAAGATAGTTTTAATATATAATGCAAATCTTACATTATACAAAAAATATATCCCAGAATACCTTATAATTATAAACGGAAAATCGGATTGGTACGATGTATAACGGGCTCTTGGATAATTTTATTTATAATCCAAAAGATAATCTAGATAACGTCCAAATTATCTTTCATCTTTTATCTAGACAAATCCAGAGTATCTTTATCTTATACTTATATTTTTTTTATTAAAATAAGATTTTATTATTTTATTTAGCCGTTTTTCAAAATTTGTCATACAATAATAAATGAAATATGTGAACTGTAACATTTGTATGCATTTTAAAATTTAAATTATTACATTAAAAATATTTTAATATAAATTTTAGTACAACCAAATGTTATATACTTATATACTAGTACTAGTCACGAATATGGACTGTGAACTTGTGAGTTGAATCAAGAGTCGAGAATTGAAGAGTTGACTAGAGTAGTGGTAATCTGATTCAAACAAAGAGTCGAAGAGTTGAGAGTCGACTCTTTGATTCAACTCATTACACTGAACTGAGTTGAAAGGTTCAGTTCAGCAGAATGAGTAGGAATTCCCATCCCTACTATAAACCCGTATCGATCGTATCTGGATATCGACCGGATGTCGATAAAGATAATAGTTGATGTAGAATCATAGATTATTTATTTAGTGTTCAGATCAGTCGATTATTATCCATTGATATTTTGCGTCTCGCAATCATGCAATGTCGAATCATACATAAAACGTCGTACGTATTTTGTAATATTGTGTAATGCCGAAAGTACAACAGTCTACGAGTAGCCGAATACAAAGTTTTGTTTCGGAGTTTTAAGATACATTTACATCCGATGGACACGTTTTATTTTGTGTACTATGTGGTAATTTTTTTTTTAATACATACAAATACATATTATAATGCATATTTTAATGATTTTAGAAGCATATTTGTGTATTTTTTAGAGCTATAAGTCCCTAAGCCTATTTATTATAGTTACTACTAGCTTAATTACCCGGCTTCGCACGGAACATTCTTGGCCGTGACACAGGTTTTAATGGATTATTACTTTACATTATTTAAAGCCAAGTCTGGTGTAATTGTTGGTGGTTATAAAACTAATAAAACAAAAGTTCAAATGAATCAGTATAGTAATTTTGGTGATACGCTAAATTACCGTATTTTCTGGTTCCAATATTTTTTAAAATCCCTTCTTATTGCATGTATTGAATATTGGAGAGACCATAATATCAAATTTAAAGTTCATATAGTTTTGAAATGTAGCGATGATCAATGAATGAGTAATACCTGACGTTGTCCGTTGAGAAAATGTTGAGTGTTCAACTCTTTTTGGGTGTTACCATTGAACCTATGTCTTTTTAAATATGAATCACCCGAAGTAATGGTTGAAATATTAATTTGTTATATATTAAATAAGTAAATATAAAATATAGCCATGTCTATCTCGCCTTGCTCTACCGTTTACTATATTTAAGCATATACTAATATCCTTACAACAATGTTCAATTTATTTTGGATTATAATTATTTTATTTATTCATTTTATTGAGAATAGTCTGACAATTCAATGTTTTAAATAAATGCTATTCATTGAAGTGTACTTGGATTACACAGTATTTTTTGTTTTTCCTTTTGTGGTGCGTACACAAATAAATCAGGTTTTCTGACGCGTGAGCAGGCCACACACAGTTATGTGAGAAGCATAAATTTTCAAAATTCAGTCCACACACTTGTTTTAATTGTCCTTGTAATTTTTTAAAAATCATTGCAAAAGCGAGTCGCACTGAAAACTCCAAAAGTTTGAATTCCAATGGCTTATCTGTTGGAGTCATTGAGATGCGTGGTAATAGTACATGATCACCTATAATTTTCTTTTAAAAATTATGGCTTCGATTAAGTTGTTATATAGTTTAATAATTTACATAACTCTTAATCGGTAATTATTAAAATCAACATATTAAACAAATCAAATATTTCCTAGGTAACCAAAAATTGAAAAATGTATGCATCCAGTCCAAAAGTGTTTCGACCCTTAAATATGCGATTTTCGAAAAATCCTTTCTTATTACTCGGTGAAAGACTTCCAAATTTCAGGTGTGTACGTTGAATAGTTTTTGAGATTCAGCGATCAGTGAGTCAGTGGTATTTGGATTTTATATTTCTACTATATATATAATATAATATGAGTATTTGTGTACGCTGAGATTATTTCTATCGATAAACTTCCCGGAACAATTATTCTATAGTTTATTCAGAATAAAAGTGCCCAGTCATTTGGACGAAAACTAGGTTTTATTGCGCATGGTTCCTTTCCACTAGGAACGTTGTAGTATGTCGACGCATTACGACAGGCATGTCAAACACGCGGCCCGCGACTTATTTTTTTGTGGCCCTCGGCTAGTAATATTAATGGACAAAATAAAAAAAGGATAATAAAAAAAAAATTATAAAATATTAATCATGTGTTTCAACTAACATAGATTCTTTGATAATGGTATATATTTTGGTATACATTATTATGTTTTATCTTCTGATTATAGAATATAGATTAATAATTTATATCGTCGGTACGCGACATGCGTGCCTTTGGAAACTAGTCTTTCGACAACCAGCGTGTGTTCGAGTTTAAATTTTGTTGCGTGCAAATTTACAATTTAAAAATGTCTGTATTAAAACCAAGTGGTAGTTATAAACGTAAAATTACCGATGAACATCGTCAATTTCATGAACATTGGGAATTACAATATTTTTGTAGTGAAATCAATAATAAAATAATTTGTTTAATTTGTAAAAGTGTTATTAATGTTCTAAAGTTATACAATATTAAGCGGCATTACGAACAACATAAGTCAAAATACGACCACTATGAAGGGTTATTAAGACATGAAAAACTGAAAGAACTTAAATCAGGATATAAACACCAACAATTAATGTTCACTAAAATACCACAAGAAAATGAAGCTGCAGTAAAGGTTAGTTATGTGTTGTCAGAGTTAATTGCCAAACATTCGAAACCATTCACCGAAGGTGATTTTATTAAAACGTGTTTGATTAAAACGGCTGAAATTATTTGTCCCGGTGTAACAGGCGATTATTACCCCCCCCCAACATTTTTACCGGGGGGGGGTAATAATCGCCTGAGGTAATAATCGCCTATAGTAACAGGCGATTATTACCCCCCTTAAGGTTGAGCCCCCGGGGGGGATGATGAGGGTGTCATATACTAATAACCTCTCCATTACCTACTTTTTATGCTTATGTGCTTATTATAAGGATTCAGCATTTTTGATTAAAAATATGTTAAAGAAAAAAACAGTAATTTATTACCAACACTTCTGAAATTAACTCAATTGTTTTAAAATTGTTTAAAATATTAACAATATTTATTGTTACCTATAGATATCAATGTTCAGTATTGTCAAATTATATGATATGTGTATTATGTTATCGATTGTGTCCGCGTCGGTATCGTTATCGGCCTAACCGGTTTAGTGTACCGACGGGCTTTTGATTTTATTATATTCAGTCGGAAAAAGTATTTTAAATTGTAAAGGTGCCGACTCCGCACATGGAATAAAAAAGCTTTTTAATAAAATTCAAATTAAATATATTATTTCATAACGCAACAAAATCATTTATTTATTATACATCGTATAGTCCATTAATATAAAATTTTATAACCGGTGTGATTTTAACCCAAACCAACAAATATAATAAAATAAGTTATGTGATTACATAATTAAACATTCATAACTACATCATAGTATACATTGTTGATGTTCCTTATGTAAATGCACTTTTCACTCATCATTACATTATTCTTTAAGTCCATATATTTGTTAAATATTTGCCACTTATTCGTTAATGTAGAAAAAACATAAATTGATGTCTTTAGTAAGAAAGCAGCAGCAAATATTTCGACATCAGTTCCCCATACACCTAAAAATCAGAAATGTTTATTATAATTTTTCAAGTTGTATAAGTTTAGTAATTATATCATTTTATAGTAAATAATTTTAATACTAACCGTCATTTTCTATATTTTTTTCAAGATATTGAAGAAGTTTATTCTTCCCACCAACATACTTTTCAATACTCTCGTTTGATTTCACATGACATAAACTTTAATGCATTAACTCTCACCTCAGACGTGATGGTGTCACCCAACTTTCTGGGCCACACCCCTAATGATTTACGTCTTATGCCTCCATGCATAATTAATAACCTATTTAGACAGTTTATTGCCGATAACTTTAATTCGTTTACCTTGGTATTCACGGATGGGTCAGTCACACAATCAGGTGCGGCGTTTGCTTACTTTTTCCCAGAATTACATATACAGTCTTCCTCCAACCTTTCTGCTTTCGTCTCTTCATTCACGGCTGAATGCTGGGCTATCCTAGAAGCTCTCACATGCATAAGTTCTCTCCCCTGCGGTGATTTTCTTATTGTCTCTGATTCTCAAGCTAGTATTTTAGCAATCGTTAGTAACCCCTTCCTTTCGAAGTGCTCCCCCATAATTCTAAAAATCCGCGCATTACTACTATCCCTCAAAATCAGGTCATTCTCCATCTTCTTTCTATGGGCTCCAGGGCATATAGGCATAAATGTTAACGTATACGTTGATTCGTTAGCTGGCTCAACCGCCAACCACTCTTACTCGGTTCCACTGTGGTGTCCCTATACGAATTTAGTCTCTTTACATCGCAAATTTATAAATGAACAATGGAAGCTGGAATGGGATTCCTTACCAAAATCCTATGCTTTTGGTTATAGGTCATTATTTAAAAATATCCCTAATCGACCATGGTTTCATTCCCTAAAGATGAGCTGTGCAGCCATAGCTAAATTCACTAGATTACGCACGGACCATAGCCTATTACCACACCACTCATTTAAATTGGGACTCAACAGTAGTGTGTGTTGTCCTCTACCAAACTGTGGTAGAGAATACTGTGATTTCCATCACCTACTCATAAATTGTCAATCTCTATCTATCCAAAGATCTCAGCTAAAGATTCTCTTTTTCATCTCTGGTATTCATTTTTCCCTTATTGATGCTCTTTCAACCGACAATGCTAATATAATCAAACATACGCTAAATTTTATTCTGCAATCAGGTCTCCGAATTTAAGAGTGTGAGCTATACCAACCTTAATTTATTTCAAATTAATGTACATAATTGTCGAGATATCATAATGTAACGTTAAAATCTCATTAATAAAAAAAATAAAAAAATAAATAAAAAATACTATTATTTATTTAATATTTATGTTTTAGGTATATTTTTCGCGGATACATTATTATCAACTTATAAATAATAAATAATTTTTACTAATTGTTAAACTATCATAGTGTTATATGTTTAAATGTTTTGTAATAACTAATAAATATATATGTTATGAGTACGTTTCAAAAACGGGCAGTGTATAATATTATAATATATATACATATTACCCGGATAATTTACGAAATAAACGTTAGTAAAATATACCTATAGCTTGTAACATATAAATATTAAATAATATGTATACAAATTTACACTTCATATGATTAAAAAATGTACAATTATGTTTTATATGATTTTATTAACGGGAAATTATTTTCCGGCATTCACACAGACAATACTCCATTTTCTGAAATAACTCACTGCCCAATAATAATATTAATATACCTATTATTACCTATACGGCTATATCTAACCTAGTAGTTATAAGTCACTAGCCTTAATAATGAATCTAAAAAAAATTTCAAATGCCACTTTGTACATAGACAATAGACATATTTTAAATTTTAATAATACGTAATAGAAAATGATTTGAGCCACTCCAAATTTTTAGAATTACAATAAAATAGCTAAAAATGGATATTTTTGGTTTAAATATCCAATCATGTCAACATTTGAACTTTAAATATCTATAAAAAAAAAAATAGTATGTATTTATTTTCATTTTTTAACCATGGCAAACTACATATCATCACAAAAAATATAAAATACATTTTATTGTTCTATGGTTTTCATACATTTTATACACATTATATCACATAGGTATCTACCTGTTTTGGAATTTCCACAGATTTCAATTCAGGAGTCACTTTTAATGAAGTTGGATTCACTTTTTGACAAGATTCACATCGCATTATAAAATCCCTGACATCGTCAGACATATGGTTCCAAAAATATCTGCTCGTATATAAAAAAAATGTTGAAATACTAATATACTATCAAAAAGTCAAAATGCTACCTTCAAAACTAATATCGAAACAAATAATACAAAAAATAAATAAATCTAGTGCCACAGTTTAAGTACATTGAGCCTTGTATAAAGCTCTAAAACTTGTATGGTGTGCAGTATAATACTAATACTCGTATTAGCTTGTATTCATTACGTACCTTTGTTTTATGAAACGTTGTGTGGTGTCACGACTTCTATGGGATGACAAAGCGGAGGCTTCAATTGAAGAGTCTGAACCACAATGTATCATTTTTATAATACTAAGTTGTTCATCTGTATTAATAATAACACGTGCATGTGTCTTTTATAAAACAACTGTCCATTTTCTATTCGAAAAGGCTTACATTGTTTTCTAAAGTTTGATTTCTCATTTTTAGTAGAAATATTCCCTGGATAAATATTAAATTTTAAATACTCCATCTTTCATCTCTACGTGTTTACGTTTTTTTCCAAATGCTCGTTATTGCTGTTACATGCATTTAAAACTAAAATATAATGATTTTGATTTAGTGCTTTGATTTTTTACTTCAGCCTTTTGAAAAAGAAAATTCATCTAGTTGGTACTTTTTTTGATGGGAGGGGGGGTCAAAAGTAAAAAATTTCCAGTAGTTTCCAAAAACGTTAGGAAAAACCCTAAAAAAGTAACAGAAAAACGGGAATTTTTACACATAATCAATTTTCGACGAAATCGATTTTTTATTTTGCTGTAGCTCGAAAATGAATCACTGTAAATATTTGAAATTTTCACCAAATGTTTATATTAGCCTTATTTATTTACAATTAAATTTTCAAAATATTTTGACTTTTTTTTTTAAGCTATTTATAGTCAATTGAAATTTTCGATTTTTCTAAATTTTTTTTTTTTTTAAATGACTATAAAAAAAATGGCTCATCAAAAAATCTTTAAAGTTTAATACAAGGTTTATTATAGGTTATACTTATTCTTATACTCGTAGTAAAAAAAAAAATCAAAACGTTAGTCACAAATTTTTGTTGATAAGCTTAAGTTCAAATATTTACGAAATATGTTAAAATCGCGAAAATTTTTCTAATGTTATACTATGAATTTTCAAATTTATGAATTTATGAAAAATTATGGGGGGAGGTAATAATCACCTGTTGCTGTAGGCGATTATTACCTCAGGCGATTAAAACCACCCGGTAAAAAATTGTGAGGGGGTAATAATCGCCTGTTACTGTAGGTGATTATTACCTCAGGCGATTATTACCGCAGGCGATTAATACCCCCCAATAAAATATTGTGGGGGGGGAAGTAATAATCGCCTGTTGCTGTAGGCGATTATTACTTCAGGCGATTATTACCCCCTCCCCGGTAATAATATAGGGGGTAATAATCGCCTGTGACACCGGGAATCTAAAAGCTTTTCAAAACATATCATTAACACGAAATACGGTTGCTGAAAGAATAACTGAACTATAATGCAATTTGAGTGATCAGATAAAAATCAAAATACCTAGTTTCGAGTATTTTTCAATTGTTTGTGATGAAAGTAACGATATTGGTGGCACAGCTCAGTTAGCTGTATTCTTTCGAGCTTGCGATATGGAATTAAATATTTATGAAGAGTTATTGGAAATTAAACCTATGTATGGTACTACTACAGGAGAGGATGTATTCGTTTCTGTTTGTGAACTCTTAAAAAAATATGATTTACCTTTGGTAAAGTTATCGTCTGTGGCTACAGATGGAGCTCCTTCTATGACAGGAAAAAATAAAGGTTTCATTGAAAGGTTACGAAAAAAAAGCGAATAAAAATTTTGAGCATACATTTCATAGGGCACATTGTATTATACATCAAGAGATGTTATGCACAAAAGTTATTAATATGGCATTTGTAATGAAACCGGTAAAACAAATGGTCAATTTTATAAGATCTCGTGGTTTAAAACAAAGACAATTTTCGATTTTTTTAAACGATTTAGAAAGCGAGTATTCAGGTTTACCATACTTTACAGAAGTACGTTGGTTATCATGCTCCACTGTATTAGAACGGTTCTGGAAGTTAAAAGATGCAATACAAATATTTTTAGAGTCTAAAGAACAAGACGTCAGCACTTTGTCGGATCCAATGTGGTTACAAGACCTATCCTTTATGGTCGATATAACGAAGCACTTGTCAAATTTAAATTTAAAATAACAAGGAAAATATCAAATTATAACAGCTATTAATGACCATATTAAGGCTTTCAAATGTAAATTAGATTTATGGGAAACACAGTTACAGAATGAAAATTTAACGCATTTCCCAACATGTATGACGTATAAAACAAGTAATTATGGACCAATTTTTTACAAAAACTATTCAGAACAAATTATATCGTTGAAGACTGAATTCGGAAATAGATTTCAAGATTTCAAATATTTAGAAAACGATTTTGAATGGTTCACGTCTCCTTTTTCAATAGACGCAGTAAAAGTTCCAGCACATATACAAATGGAACTGATTGAGATTCAAAATGATTCAAATTTAAAACGTAAATTCAATGAGGTTGGTGTACCGCAATTTTACAATTTTTTGCCTGAAGGTACGTAGAAACTCCCAGATTTGCTTGTAAAATTAAGTCTATGTTTAGTAGTACTTATCTATGTGAGCAACTATTCTCATTGATGAATAGCAATAAATCACCCGTTAGATCCAGATTAACTTACATACATCTAAATTCAGTTTTAAAAGTGGTTTCATCCAATAATATTTCTCCCGAAATTGAGAAGTTGGTGGAGGAAAAGATATGCCAAATATCGACCAAAAAGAATTATCAATATGTTTTCTTTTTTTAATTTAAATAATTGATATCTCCTCATATATATTATTAATATGACTTTTTTGAATGTTCATTTTTTTTAAAGTTTTTTATATGTATTTATACCTGTTGTGTCCGTAAAGAATAAAATTGAAAAAATGTAAAAAATATACTTATTTTCGTTAAATGTTTATGTGCGGCCCACGTAGTAAACTAATTAATGTATTTTGCCCACCTTATACTTTGAGTTTGACATGCTTGCGTTACGACGATGTTATACGTAGTGAACTGTATTATCACACTCTTCTCGTAACGCCAAGCCATAGTTCTATTTTGAATAACAAGGTTTTTTTTTTTTTTTAATAATAATCTGTAGTATACAAGACGGCAGTCACCGACTTAATCATAAAAATTAAAACGTGTTATGTCTTCTTAATAGGGGCGGAAAAGAAGACCAAGGGCCGCGAATCTGACCATCCTGATCTGGAGCGTTGAGCTGGTTACACACTACGCGCAGTGTATAACCGCCATTGGAGGGACTCGGTATACCATATCGAATTTCGAGTTCACGCGTTTTGTTATTTTTGAGACGTAGCGTCCAATGACGAGTGAGCGGTAACTATTTTAACTGTATACGTAAATACATATACGAATTGATGGTTGCAGAAACGTCACGAGTCACATATTTTATGAAAATGAGATATTGTTAAAAACGTATAACGGTCATGTGTTTTCTATGCGTTTAGTGTAAAAACACCAATTATTGTTTATTTATCTGATAAAGAATAAAGTATAACTAATGACGTTTTTACATATAACGCATAGAAAACACTCGAACGTCGATTAGTATAGGTACGTTTTTGGTAATATATTTCATAAAATACATATATGACTCGTGGCGTTTCTGCAATCATCGATTCGTGGCGCTTATATCACAGCCTCGTACTAACAGTATAACACGCAAGGATAATTTCAACAATGATTTATGCGAGGCATTAATAGCGAGTAACATTCCTTTGAAAAAACTAAGTAATCCGAAATTCCGTAGTTTTCTGAAAAAATATTGTACGAATCAAAACATACCCGATGAATCTACTTTAAGGAAAAATTACATTATAGACGTTTATAGAAATATCTTGGAAAAAATTAAAAATGAAATTGGAAAAAACCTAATTTGGATTTCGGCAGATGAGACTACAGATTCGTGTGGGCGTTATATCGCGAATTTATTTATTGGAAAATTATCCCTAGAACCTTCTCCAGCATATCTCATTGCTTCTAAAGCACTTGAAAAAGTCAACCATTCAACTATAGCTCGATTTATAAACGACAGTATCACCGCATTTTTTGTCGATACTTCTATTGCTGAGAGAGTTTGCATTTTTATTTCTGATGCAGCTCCATACATGACGAAAGCTGGAGTAGCCCTCAAAATTTTCTATCCGAACTTGATCCACGTAACTTGCTTTGCTCATGCTATTCACCGCTTTGCTGAAGAAATTCGAAATGAGTTTTTGAGTGTGAACAAACTTATTTCTGCCGTGAAAAAAGTATTCATGAAAGCACCATCGCGAATACAGACGTACAGGGAACAATTACCGACTTGACCACTTCCACTAGAACCTGTCATTACGCGATGGGGCAATTGGATCAAAAGTGCTTGCTTCTACAGTGAACATTTCATGGAAATAAAAGGGATAATTAACCAATTTAAAAGTTCTGACGCCTTATCAATCCGTGATGCCAAGGAAGCATTTGAAACCTCGTCAATACAACATGATTTAAATCTGATTTTTACACATTTTTCTAAAATACCAGAACTAATTACAAGTCTAGAAGCAAGAAACTTGTTACTACACAATTCATTAAAAGTTATGGAGGGATTATTAACAACAGCATCTGAACTGCCTGACGTATTTTCAGAAAAAATCAAAACAAAGATTACTCGATTACTGAACAAAAATCCCGGCTATGATTCCCTAAGTATGATCGACGCTTACATTAATGGCACAAGTACTGTACTTCTCAATACAATAACGAGCAACATGGCTTCTAAGTTTAAATACTGTCTTGTGACGTCCTGTGATGTTGAACGGTCATTTTCTGCATTTAAACTTATTTTGGATGACAAGCGCCATAGTTTTACAATGGACCACTTGGAGCAACATTTAGTAATATACTGCTACGAGAACTACAGTTCTAATTAAATTTACATATATGTAATATAATAAATAATAATAATTATTAATTATAAATTATAATAATTTTTTTTTTTTAATAAATTTCATCATCATAATTTTTTCATATTGTTTTTAAATTTAATTCTTAGTGCATATTTTAACAAAGTCCATGCATATTTCTGTATTTTATGCTGCATATTTGCATGCATATAATAGAGTATTTTCACTGCATATAATCCGCGGTTTACTCATTATGTATTGATGTCCATACAAACTCATTATTCTTTTTAAGAAAATCTCTTAGTGGTTTAGTCAACATTGCCAGATTAGGAATAAAATTTCCGACATGATTAACCATACTGTTTGGGCCGAAACGACGATCGAAGGACCAGTTACATTGACATAAAAATAATAATCATAAAAATAAGAAATATAAATCGTATGTGGCGGGTGCCTATAATTTGCTGGCTAGGTAATTTCACTTACTCCCCGCGATACGTTTGGAGATAGGCCACTCAAGGTACGCAATTGACCGATAACGTTCGGCGGCGGCCACTGACACGACGGCGGCGTCCGAAGGAATGGAAACAAGTTATACACGGGAGACCAGAAAATAGAGTTTAGTTATCGGGGGGGGG